AGTGTAGTCTGTGTGTGTATGCGTGTGTGTGTGTATGTGTGTGTGTGTTCACATTTCCTGTGTAGCCCAGGTTAGCCAGCCTCAAATTCACTAGTCACCTGAGAATGACCTTGAACTTCTGCTCCTTCTGTCTTCACCTCCCAAGGGCTGGATTACAAGTAGAACCACCAAATGTGGTGCTGAAGACTGAACCCAGGACGTTGTGCAAGCTAGTCCAGACAACCAATTGAGCTACAACCTTCCCACTCCAACATTTTTAATTTTTTTGTTGTTGTTATTGAAAGAGGTAGTAGCGGGCAAATGCCCAGTAATTCTTAATCTGCCCTCTAATTCAGTCCTCTCTGATTTTTTTCTAGAGAAGGACAGAAATTCCCCATATGATGTCACATGACTGTCATCTTGGCCATGCTTTATGCTCAGCCTGATCACTGAAAAGGACATCTGAGCACTAGAAAAATCTGTGTCTAGTCCACCCTCCCCAGCAGTCAGCTGTGTGCCTCAGGGAGGTCTCTTCTCACTCAGTCTCGTTCTTACCCACTTACTCTTTCCAGCATGCCCGGTCCCTGCATCTACCACATTCTCCCTGGCAAGCCCCCCTCAGAGTATATGCAAGCCCCCATGCTGTATATGCGAGGCTCTCACACCATGAACACCTACTCTAGCCTCAGGTTTCAGCCTTGTCTGTCCTACTGTCCCTTAAATGCCTCACACTGCTTTTCTTCTATACCTTTTTTTTTGTCTTTGTTCATGAGCCTTAGGACTCTTGAATATGATCTTCTCCTCCCTGATTTCTGGTTGCTTCCACCGTCCACTTCAGAGCAGTTCTGGGAAGTGCTGATACTGGTTGGTGGCTGCCATCCAGCTCGCACACGCAAATCCAGAGTGGATCCACCAGGGCTTTGCCCTAATGTCAGCTTCACCCTCGGTAGCTGGTGACATCCCCAAGGATGGCAATATCAGGACTGCTTCCTCTTGGCAGCAACGAAGACTTATCGGGAACTCCCCGTCCTCCCCCACCTCCAACCTCTCCTACTCACCCACACTTGTCAACACTTACTGCTGCCCCGAGTGACCCATCTGTTGATACAGGGACAAAGACCTCATTCTTAATTCATCTGGCACCTCAAGGTGACATCGGTCAAACAAGGTCATATCAGGACTCTTTAGCTGTGCTCCCCTCTAAGGTCCAAGGCTCCCCAAAGATTTTTTTAATGAGCTGTCCATATCTGGAGAATCTGGTGTTTTCAGATTTCTTCATCCTTTTTGGCATCTGAAAGTGCAGATGGGAAACTCTTGTGTACTGTGACTCTACTGTTCAGGGAGCAGAGGCTCTAAGTAAAAAGACTAGCTTGGCAAAGCATTAGCCTTCGACAGATGGCATGGAGTCTCTGCTGCAGGTAGGCCTCTCTATCAGGGCCCATGTTCTAAACATCTCACAGATTTTCTTTTTCATTTAGCACCCCTCCCCCAGCAGGTTTTTCTTCTTTTTCATTTCCAATACTATTTGGTGTTCCATATGATCTTAGGCTAGAAGCTCAACTTGCTAGTCTAGGGCTTCCCTGCATCTTCAAATGGAGTTAAGGGCTGCAGTGTTCTTAGCATTTCCCGAAGACTATAATTTTACAATATTTCTTTGCATTCACATGAAATGATATGACCTAAAATGGCATTTCAGGAACTCAGATCTGATGGTCAGTCTTAAACTGAAATACTATGTTGGAATATAAGAAATTTATATCTGCCAAAATGATTATTAGAAGATGAAATATTTTGCTACGGGGGTTCATCTTGTGCCCCAGAACTGTGTTGTCTCCACAATAAAATCTATGAGACCTCCCCCAGCCCATGGCACAAAATTGAAGGGTATTTTGAACTCACTGAGCAGACTTTTGCTTAGGAAAAAAATAGGATGCATGCAGTGGTCAGGAAATCTGTTGTATTGTTTGAGTGAGCCTTGGGGATGAGCAGCCACTGTGAGATTAGATTGTTTTAGGGTTTGTAGTGGTTTCAGTGAAAATGGCCACCACAGACACATAGCAAGTGGCATTATTGGCGGTGTGGCCTTGTTGGAAGAAGTGTGTCAATAGGGGTGAGCTTTGAGGTTTCAAAAGCTCAAGCCAGTTCTGTTGTCTGCCCCATCTTAATGTAGAACTCTCAGTTACCTCTCCGGCACCATGTCTGCCTGCATGCCACCATGCTTCCTGCCATGATGACAATGGACTAAACCTCTGAACTGTAGGCTAGCCCCAATTAAACACTTTTCCTTTAGAAGAGTTGCTGTGGTCATGATGTCTCTTCACAGCAATACGACTAAGACAGGGTTTCAAGACTAGGTTCTACCAGTTGTCATTGCTTTTGAATGAAACTGGGGCCAGTGATAGTTCATAGCACACCAGATTCCTTGAGTCCAGTTGTGGTGGTTAATACTGAGTTTCAACTTGATAGACTCTAGACTCACGTAGGAGGCAGATCTCAGAGCACATTGTGAATCATCTTCCATAGAGGTGGGTGTCTTAGTTACTTTTCTGTTGACATGATAAAACATGATGACCTAGGCAGCTTATAAAAGAAAGCATATAAGGTGGGTTCCATAACTGTGCTGAATAGTTTTAGGTCAACTTGACATGAGCTAAAGTCATCTGAGAGGAGAAAAATCTCAATTAAGATTGGGTTTCAGGCAAGCCTGTAAGGCATTTTCTTAGTGATTGAGGGGGGAGAGCCCAGAACATTGTGAGTGGAGCCATCCCTGGGCTGGTGGTTCTGGGTTTTAAAAGAAAACAGGTTGAGCAAGCCAGTAAGCAGGACTCCTCCACGGCCTCTGCATCAGCTCCTGCCTCCAGATTGCTGCACTGTTTGAGTTCCTGTACTGACTTCCTTTGATGTGGAACAGTGATATGCAAGTATAAGCCAAATCAACTCTTTCCTTCCAACTTGCTTTTTTTGGTCATGCTGTTTCATCATATTAATAATAACCCCAACTGAGACAGTGACCACCATGGTGGGAAGTATGGCAGCAGGCAGGCATACAGGCGGAGCACTGGAGCAGTATCTGAGAGCTTACATCTGATTCTCAAGCATGAGGCAGAGAAAGAGAAAGCTAACTAGGAATGGCAGGGCCAGAGCCCATGCCTAGGGACACACCTCCTCCAACAAGGCCATGCCTCCTAATCCTTCCCAAACAGTTTCACCAACCATGGCCCAACCATGCAAATATATGAGCCTATGGGGCCTATTCTCATTCAAAGCACCACAGTGGGGGACCTGTGGTAATTGTAGGTGAGACCATACCATAGGTTAAGGTCTGGGAGAAAAAGAAAAGGGAGAGAGCTGAGTATCAGCCTTCATTGCTGCCCACTTGCTGAGGGTGGGTGACATGCCACCGGCTGCCTCACCCTGCCACCATGCCTTCACTTCCACATGGACACTTTAGGTCGAAGTAAGCCTTTCCTTCTCTAAGCTCTCTAAGCTGCTCTTGTCAGGTACCTTATGGCTGAGCTGGGGTCCCGGCGAACCATCTGCATTGCATGGAGAGGAGCAGTGTCCCCACGCTTGTGGAGACAGTGACATCTGTTGCTCCCAGTTGTGCAGAAGAGGGAACTGCAAGCAACAGCTACTTAGTGTCACTTCCTCCTTCGCTCAGTAAGGAGAACTCCAGTTCAACGACGGGCTCCAGAAAGCACACTGCAAGTGTTGCTCAATGCCAGACTCTGCGGCTCATAAAGGCACGCCACCAAACAAGCTACTGTGGATGTCCTTCAGGAGTTCACTGCCTAAGAAGGGTATGATCTTTAGCCATCCAGCTCCAGAACCAATAGTGGATTCCTGTGTTAGTGGTTAGGATAAGGTGTGTGTGGGGAGCGGGGCACACAGGAGGAATAGGATGCTATATGAGAGACGGCAGGAAGCATCCTGGAAGAGGTGACATTAGAAGTAGGCCACATAGGATAGGGATTTTGCCAAAGCAGCAGTGGGGATTCTGGCTTTAGGTCAGAGCTTTTTAAAAACCTTGAGTTCCTGAAGATGTGCTTTAAAGATTATTCTATTCTAGGTGTCTGGCTCCTTTCTTCCAGTCTACATGCAGTCTCTCTCTCTCTGTCTCTCTGTCTCTCTGTCTCTCTGTCTCTCTGTCTCTCTGTCTCTCTGTCTCTCTGTCTCTGTCTCTGTCTCTCTCTCTCTCTCTCTCTCTCTCTCTCTCTCTCTCACACATCACCTAGGACATACATTTATCCTCCCCCTCCAATCTCCCTTGCATCTTTCCTCATTGTTTTTGTTTTTGTTTTCCCGAGACAGGGTTTCTTTGTGTAGCTTTGGAGCCTGTCCCGGAACACGCTCTGTAGACCAGATTGGCCTTAAACTCACAACTATCCACCTGCCTCTGCCTCCCGAGTGCGAGTGCTGGGATTAAAGACGTGGGTGACCACCGTGCCTGGCCTCTTTCCTCATTTTTGAGACAGGGTCTATAGAGTCAAAGTCGGCCTTGGACCCCGATCCTCCTGTCTCCCAGTTTCATTAGGTGTAAGGGTTAGAACCCAGGGCTTCCTACATGCTAGACAAGCACTCAGCAAAACCAAACAGGTCCACAGCAGCTCCTTGTATGCAAATTTCTTAAACATTCAGTCTACTCGGATGGCCTTGTTTCCTAATGTAGTTTCTAAGAAAAGTTTGTTCCACCAACCATCACAACCAGAAATTCCAAGAGCCCCGGTAGAAATACCCATTCTTGGACCCCAATCCAGAGCGACTGAACTCAAAACTTAGGTTTTCATTTGCGAATTCGAGATTGGCAGAGGCAGATTCAGAGCCCCAGGGTCTGCTTCAAAAGTTCTGGATCGGGAGCGGCAGCTCCCGGGGTTCCTGCCACGGTAGGGTACGCAACTCTGACACAGGCAGCCACCAGGACCAGGAGGAGGTCGCGCTGACTTCTTGAAAGGTTTCTGAGTCCCGCGAGAGGGAGGTCAGAGGCCTTGGTCAAAGATCACCCTCGGGTTTTTGTCTCACAGCAGACAAACCCGGAGTCTTGGCAAAGCAGATCCGGTCTGCCTGGGAAACAGAACCAGGGCTGGTAAAATGTCGTGGCTGGCTGGAAACCGACTTCCTCGGTTGTGCACCTGAGTGACGCAACCTCCTTAGGGTCTTTAGGCAATCTGAATTCACCAGACCCAACCACACCCAACGCCCGGGGACCGCGGCAGTCAGTCATCTGACCAATCTGGCCTTGGTCAGGTGACAGCGGCGGAGCGCACTTGGCAGAAGACAGAAGGCCAGTCTTGGGAGCTGGTAAAGAAAGTCAGGGACTGTCCTGAGGCCATGCAGCTCCCAGAGGTCCCCGGACTGGTGCGCATGCGCCTGGAGCTCCTGCTGCTGCTGCTGCTGCAACTGCTACCGCTCCTGCCTCGATGCGGGGCCACGAGCCCCCCGCGCTACGACCCCACGTGGGAGTCTCTGGACCGCCGCCCGCTGCCCTCCTGGTTCGACCAAGCCAAGTTCGGCATCTTCATCCACTGGGGAGTGTTCTCCGTGCCCAGTTTCGGTAGTGAATGGTTCTGGTAAGTGCATAGCCCTCCCTAACCCAACACACACACTGGGCTTTGTGCCTCCCAAGAAATGGCAGTCAGTAGCCAGCCCACCTGGCATGAGTGCCGCCTGCTTGTCGCTGTCGTAGCCGTGGATCGGTTTGCAATTCAAGTGTTGAATACATAGTTTCTTGACTGAGTGTCTCGTTTGCATCAACACTGAATATATGTGCTTCCCTGAGTTCCTGGGTACACTGTAGGGGAGCCTGGCTATAGGGTGTAGCTCAAGGGCAATGCCTGTGTGCAGAGGGGAGTGCCAGTCCCAGAATTAAAAAAAAAATGTGCTTCAAAGGGCATGGAGAGGTTGCTCAGCGGTTAAAGGCACATACTTCTCTTGTAGAGGACCCGAGTTTGGCTCACAAGCACCTGTAACTCTGGTCCCAGGGGACTCCCATGCTTCTGGACTCCTCCCACAGGTGCACATCTTTTAAAATAAGTACATAAAATAAAATACATATAATCTCTTAAAACAAGTGCTTCATGGATCAGGTATGAAATTAAGATCCTTGCTTGCTAAAGCAGCAAAAATCACAAAGCAAATAAAGGGTTAATAATAGAGGCACGTGATTTCACCTTACCTTCAAAGTCACATGATGTTTGCAGACAGGCATCATAAACTCATTCACTCTTTTAACTTCCCAACCAGAAAGCCAGTTTCTCTCTTCCTTAGGAATTCCCAGAACCACCAGGTGGCGCAAGACTTTAGTCCCAGCTGTTGGGAGGCAGAAGCAGGCAGATCTCTGAGTTTGAGGCCAGCCTGGTCTACAAAACGAACTCCAGGACAATCAGGGCTATGCAGAGAAACTCTGTCTTGAAAAACAATAACAACAAAGAAGGAAATCCCAGAATCTGCCATGAAGTATGTGTGTGGCTTTGGTTCAGCACAGGACATGCTGCTTGCGGGCTGTGAGGTCTTTCAGTGTAGTCTCAGCCACACAAAGCTGTCATCCCACCGAAGAGGCAATGCTGTTCACTTGCTCAGTCTGTGGAACTGTTTCCCCCATCTACCCAAAGGGTTTTTTGTTAATGAATATGACCGGTGCATGTTATGTTTTAGGCCTGTTGTCTTGAAATCTTAGCCACTTAAGTTCCATAGGGAGCTAATTCGTAAAAGCAAAGATGATGCCATGACTTAAGTGAAGAATTGGTGCAGTGGCTGGATGAACAGAGGACCTCAGGAGGGACAAGATGGAGTACAAGGAGAGAGTATTGGTTTGCATAAGCTGCCCTTAATGCCAAGTTGCGCTGATAGAGAGATGACAGAGAATCCATCAATAATCTGCGAGCACACACGTGTGTGTGTGTGTGTGTGCGCGTGCTTGTGTGTGTGTGTGTGCGCTTGTGTGTGTGTGTGTGTGTGTGTGTGTGTGTGTATGCACGTGCACTCGTGCGTGTGTAGACACAGGGTGGGCCCAGGCATTTATGTCTGTGTCATCCGTGTGCTCTTTCTTTCCCTCCCATAGGTGGTACTGGCAAAAGGAAAAGAGACCCAAGTTTGTGGACTTTATGAACAATAACTACCCTCCTGGTTTTAAATATGAAGATTTTGGAGTGCTATTTACAGCCAAGTATTTTAATGCTAACCAGTGGGCAGATATTCTCCAGGCCTCTGGTGCCAAATACGTTGTCTTAACTTCCAAACATCACGAAGGTAAGCGTGGCACATACAATATATGCCGCCAAAGGTTCAGGAATGTAAGGTCATTCTTTTGGGTGGAGACATTAAAGCAACATAATCCTATGAAACAGGCTTCTCTGAGAATGGCCTGAGGTGGATATTGGCATTTGCTTACACTTTAAAGGTCATTTCGGTTGGAAAGCATTATGGACCCAGACAGCTCGTACCACAGAATGAGAGGAGAGACGGGCACAGTTTTACAGTGTTTGCACAGTCAACCATTTAAATAAGTAACCGGGTTTATTAAGAGCGTGTGAAGAGAATAAGTGCAGCCAGTCTAAGTCTACAACTAGAGTCGCACTTCCCTTCCTGCTCTCTTGTTTTGTTTTCTTTTGAGACGGGGTTTCTATGCGTAACTCTGGCTGTCCTGGAACTCACTTTGTAGACCAGGCTGACCTCGAACTCACAGAGATCCACTTCCCGAGTGCTGGGATTAAAGGCGTCTGTGTGCCACCAACACCCGGCGCGATGCTGACTCTTTAATACAGTTCTTCATGTTGTGGCAACCCTAAACCATACAATTATTTTCCTTGCTACTCCTTAACTGTAATTTTGCCAATGTGATGACTCATAACGTAAGTATCTGTGTTTTCTGATGGTCTTAGGTGACCCCGTGAAAGGGTCCTTCTACTCCCCAAAGGGGTCACGACCCATGGGTTGAGAACCACTGCCTTAGACTATGAGGACAGGATGCAGACGGTATGCGTTTGAGTTCAAGGACCTGTGTTGCCAAACAGCTAACAGAAAATGTGCTGCCGGCTTCAGCTAGGAGAAGGTCACTGTGTGCTTGGGGTGATGTCCTGAGATGAAGAGCCTTGTGGCCTTTGTACTGCCTGTTGGACTGAAAGTTTTAAGGCAGACCTTAAATATTGACACTGCCTTCAAGCTTCCGGCAGACATCCTCAGAGAAAGGGCAAAGTATTTGAGACCCTCTTACAATGAATTGAAGATGGAGCCATTTGTCAGGCTTGTGCTAGCACCATAGTGAAGTGAATGGCAAGGGTGTCTTGCGAGTATCTATCTGTGGGAGGCAGAACTGAAACAGGCGGATCTCTGTGAGTTCCAGGCCAGCCTGGTCTACAGAGTGAGTTCCAGGACAGGCAGTGTTGTTGCACAGAGAAACCCTGCCTCAAAAAACAAAACCAGACAAGCAAACAAAGACTTTAATGAAACAGTAACAAAGTTCTTAAGGGCCTACAGCGTGGGTCTAAATTTCTGAGGATTTTCTATTTCTTCAGCATATCAGTTAATCTATCTCGTCTAACGTTTTACATAAAATGCCAATTCCTGTTGAGATGGGAACTATTCCAAAGTGTAACACTGTGTGTTATTTTTCATACCCTTTTAGTTAGTAGAATAGTCATTTTGGAGTACTTTAAAAAAAATATAACCAAGGCCGGGTGTTGGTGGCGCATGCCTTTAATCCCAGCACTCGGGAGGCAGAGGCAGGTGGATCTCTTTTGAGTTCGAGACCAGTCTGGTCTACAGAGTGAGTTCCAGGACAGCCTCCAAAACAATACAGAGAAACCCTGTCTCGAGAAACCAAAAAAAAAAAAAAAAAGAAAGAAAAAAAAATATATAACCAAGTTTATGGCTTTAGAGTAAGATGAGGGAGGTAAGAAGCACAGAACTACTGGAAGTAGCATATCTTCTCCCTCTCCGCTTAAAGTAATTATCAAGCAACAGAGGTTTGCTTCCTGTCCTCACTGGTACTCTGAGAATCGCACTGTGATGAAAGCTGCCCAAGCAACAGAGCTTCCCCGTTGGTTCAGAAGATGCACACAAATCCTGCAGAAGATACATGTTGAGGCTTCACTCCAAATAGGGGAGATAGTGGCTCAGGGTGATGATTTGGAAGGTGTCCCTCTCTTAGAGACTATCCACTATTACTGGTTATATGTTTCGCATTGCTTGCTGTGTTGACAGTTGGCTGGGGGGTGTGGCCAAAAGCCACTGCAGACATCATGACACCGTGCCTTTCCCCGAGAACCTCAGATCTGTAACTGGAGATGGACTGTACGGCTCTTACAATGCTTCCTGACAATTGCTTTGAAAACACCAGTCCCACGCTATTTACATTCTCATCTGTTTGTTTAGATGAGTACAAGACAGACTGAAAAGTGTGCCAAGGACGGGTTATTCGGAGAACCCTTGAATTGTGCGTTCCATTTGATTTGTTTCATGGGTTGAAATCTAGCAAGGTCAAGGTGATAATAATGACAATGGTTATTATCAAGGCAATAATGCTTCCAGGGGTTTCCCACTGTCATTTTCCAGGTTTTACCTTGTGGGGGTCCGACCATTCCTGGAACTGGAATGCAGTTGATGAGGGGCCGAAGAGAGACATTGTCAAGGAGCTTGAGGTGGCCATCAGGAAAAACACTGACTTGCGCTTTGGACTGTACTATTCCCTTTTTGAATGGTTCCACCCACTCTTCCTGGAGGATGAATCCAGTTCATTCCAGACGCGGCAATTTCCCATTTCTAAGGCGCTGCCTGAGCTCTACGATTTAGTGAACAAGTACCAGCCGGACATTCTGTGGTCAGATGGAGATGGGGGCGCACCGTATGGCTACTGGAACAGCACAGGTTTCTTAGCCTGGCTGTATAATGAAAGGTCTGTACACTCACACGTCTCTACTTGCCTCAGACACCCCTCAAGTATATAGATAAGCCTTTACGTTTCTGTGGTTTTGTGCTCATTTGTGGTGGGGGGAAGACATATTATAGACAATACTTACTAGCTTGGTCAGGATTTAGTAAAATTAATCAGGAGTAAACAAATCAAGCACAACCAAACTGGTTTTGTAATCAATTTAAAAATCAAGGAATGATTAGGACCATCCGCTTCAATATGTAAGTCAAAACTGCCCCTGTAAGCGGAGTCCTGTTCCCTCTACTTGATCCACCAGAGATGAGAAATTTGAAGTATATTTCACATGATGTCAGCATTCAGGTTTTCAGGGATTTTCCAATAGTAGGCACAGATTATAAGGAAAAGGCTAGGAAAGATGTACAAGGTTATTTAGTCTTGGGGGGAAAAGCACTTGTCTTGAGTATTAATTCAGCATAGGAACTTCAGGTACTATATAGTGCTGTCACATACGTTCTCATCGCTGGATTCCAGCTATATGCAGTTATCTGCACTATAACAACAGTGAAGGAATTCATTCAATTGAGGAATTTGCCTCAGGCCTAGAAACTAGAAGGTGAGAGTCAAGCCTCCAATCATCACACATTTATTTGGCATTCGAAATGCAGGTTTTCTGTTACGGTCCTTTGTAGGGAGCTGGTTTGGAGAGGATCTGTTGGGTAACATTTCCTTTTGTTTCAAGAGTGCTTTTCCCTGAAGAAAAGCCTTCACTTTGCATTTCAGCCCAGTTCGGAACACAGTAGTCACCAATGATCGCTGGGGAGCTGGTTCCATCTGCAAGTATGGTGGCTACTATACCTGCAGCGACCGATATAATCCTGGACATCTTTTGCCGCATAAATGGGAAAACTGCATGACAATAGATCAGTTCTCTTGGGGCTACAGGCGGGAAGCTGGAATCCACGATTATCTCACAATCGAAGAATTGGTGAAGGTATAGTGGAATATATTATAGGGGCTATTACTCTGGAATGTTCTTAACGATGAGGTGGTTACAAGGATTTTTTTCTTATGATTGATTGGGATAGTGTAGTGCCACAAACTGAAGGCATTATCCTTTATATTTTTTATGATGTGAATATTTATGTGATTTATTTATATATGCATGCACATATATACACAGATAATATATATAGACACATGGGAGATGAATATTTTCTATTTCAAACTGTATTTGCTCTCTTTTTCTTTTTTCTTTTAGCAACTTGTGGAAACAGTCGCATGTGGAGGAAATCTTCTAATGAATATTGGTCCCACACTAGATGGCATCATCCCTGTAATTTTTGAGGAGCGATTAAGGCAGATGGGAACGTGGCTCAAAGTCAATGGGGAAGCTATTTATGAAACACACCCTTGGAAATCTCAGAATGACACTGCCACTCCAGGTGTATGGTAAGTTTCCTGATTAACAAGTACTGTTTTGATAGAGGAAAGTGCTTAATATCTGAGCTATATACAGAGAGAGAGGGAGAGAGAGAGGGAGAGAGAGAGAGAGAGAGAGGTAAAAGGAGACTGAGTTGCTGCTGTACCATACATGTTCCAACTTGACTCAAATACAAAGAGAAGGGATAAGAGTTAGAACATAATGCTTATCAAATTCTGCTTAAATAATACCTAGATATCCCCTAGTGGTGGGCAGTGTCTAGCTAAATTGACTCTTGCAAAATTGGAAGACATTTAGACAAGTAAAGAACACTGAGTGGTTAATGTAAAACAGACTATTATTTAGTCACTAGTAAATTCTTAGTTTTTCTCATATTAAATCCCATTAAATTAGCAAGCAAGAGATACCCAAAGGCAAAACAAACAGTAAGTTAACGTTAGCCAAAGCAGCCTTCTGAGAAGGTAGTACAGTAACAGGTGCCTACTGCCTGTACAGAGACACTAGCTGTGGTGGCAGAATTTGTACGATGGTGGCTGAGCATCAGAAATGATGCTTAATGTCCCATTAAGGAACTTCAGGTCAACTGTAAATGAAACTATAACCAGAAATCACCTCACATCCTTAAGAATAGCTATTTTGTTTGTTTTTGTTCTTTGAGACAGGGTTTGTCTATGTAGTCCTATCTATCCCGAAACTCACTCTATAGACCAGGCTGGCCTTGAACTCAAAGATCTGTCTGCCTCTGCCTCTCAACTGCTGGTATGAAAGGCATGCACCACTACCACCCGGTTTAGAATGGCTGCTATCTTTAAAAGTACAGCTGATGATCTTGGAGAGATTGGAACTCCCATACACTACAGTGTTGTGAGGACGCAAAATCACCCCTTCTGCATTTCTGTGATGGGCAGTGTCAGTCTGTCAAACATTAAAACCAGAATTACTCCATACCCCACATTTCCATCTCTGAGTTTATATACAAAGGAATGTTCCCAGAAACTAACATGTGAGAGCAATGGAATCCACTTATGGGTGATTAAACTAAAGGAGTGTGCATATACACTGTGGTATATGTATATTATTCAGCTTTGGAAAGGAAGGAAATGCTACAATGCAGATGAATTTTCAGGAGTTTGTGTGAAGTGAAAGAACCAAGTCACAAAGAGACAAAATATGATTTCTGAGACACCTAGAGTAGTCAAAACCATAGATACAGGAGCTAGTGAGAGGAGAGAATGGGGAACTATTCACGGGGTGCCAATTAATTCATCATATGTACCCTCCTTCTCCCTCCTCCCTCCCTCCTTCCCTCCCTCCCTCCGTCCCTTCCTCCCTCTCCCTCCCTGTCTTATACTCATTTGGTAGAAGATTGCCTTTGGTTCAACTCAGCTGTACATTCTGAGGCTGCCCCTGGACTGCTAAGTATGACTAGACCTGTGGTCACATATGGACAATGTCAAATTAGCACACATTTGACTTTAAGCCGAGCCTCTGTTTTCTCCCTCACATCCCAAATCCTCCAGGCAAGGATATTGCACAGTTTTCTGTTTCCATGCCCCATTTCTAGTCCTCCCCTTTCTGCCCTATCCTTTCTACTATTACTCCTTTTGTCGGGGGTGGTGTTTAGGGCATGTGCTTGTACTTGTGGTTACAATGTACACATATGCACAGCATGCGGGAGTCCATCAGAGGACAACCGTGGGTATCAGTCCTCAGACACTTTTCTCTTGAGCCAGCTTCTCTTATGGGCCTGAAACTTCACCCCACAGCCCTGACTAGCTGACCTGTGAGTTTCCAGGTCTTCATCTTGCCACTGTTGAGATCACGTGCATCACTGTGTCCAGATTTTGCTGTGGGTTCTGGGGATTAAAACTCAAGACCTCACTCTTGTGAGACAAGCAGTTTCCCAACTGAAATATCCCCGAGCCCTTTACCCTGGTCCTTTTTGTATAGTCTCTAGAGAGCAATCTGAGAAAACTATTGATTTACGGTTTATTTATTTAGTCAGCATTTCATGATGTAACCCAGGTTGATGTCATTCCTGGCTTAGAGTATTTCCATACCCAAATTCTTCCAAGGCTTCTAGTCTCAAGGGAAGAGTAAGGGTTTGCAGAGGTCTCCTTGGCCTGGTGAAGTCATGTCCATGTTCTGTCTGCTCCGCCTGCCTCTCCCTCTCCCCCTGCCCCTTGCTGCTTTATCTGCAAGGCAAGCACACTTGTGCTCTGTGGCTTTGTGCGTGTCTCTCAGCCTGGAAGGCTTTCCCACATGCTTGGACAGAGCTTCCTGATCTTTGGGTTTTATGGTTGCCTTCTCAGAGACATTGTCCCTACCTATTCTGGTCAGTATTGCACTGCAGCCTGCTTTTCTAACACCGTAGGCCTTGTCTTTCTGTGTGTTTTTGTTTCTGTGTGTAGTCCTGCTTAGCATGGAACTGAAAGAGATCTGCCTGCATGCTGGTTTTATGTGTCATCTTGACACAAGCTAGAGTCATCAGAGAGGAAGGCGCCTCAGTTGAGGAAATGCCTCCATGAGATCCAGCTGTAAGGCATTTTCTCATTTAGTGATGTGGGAGGGCCCAGCCTGTGGTGGGCGGTGCCATCCCTGAGCTGGTGGTCCTGGATTCTATAGAAAGCAGGCCAAGCAAGCCAATAAGCAGCATCCCTCTATGGCCTCCGCATCAGCTCCTGCTTCCAGGATCCTGCCCTGTTTGAGTTCCTGTTCTGACTTCCTTCAGTGATAAACAGCAATGTGGAAGTGTAAGCCAAGCAAACCCTTTCCTTGACAACCTACTTTTTGGTCACAGTTTTGACACAGCAATAGAAACCCTAACTGACAGAGATTAAAGCCTTGTACATCCATGGCTGTGTTCTCATGTTTAGTCAGTACTTCTTATACATTCATGTGGTCATTCTTGTTTATTCCACTGTTATGTGGGCACATGAAGTCACACACTGTGTTTGATGCTCTATCTCTAGCCTTACAACTATTTTGTATGAAAGAAAAAAGATGCCATGTAACAGACCTCATGTGTAGGTGTTTTTTTTTTTTTTTTAATTAGGGGAAAGGGATTGGGAAAAGGGGGAAATCAGCCTCTGGAGACAAGAGAAGCAGAAGAGAGAGGGGAGCAGAGAAGCAGAAAGAATAATAGAGAGAGGGAGAGTGAGGGAGAGAGAGAAAGAGAGAGATGAGGTGGGCAGGACCCTTTTTAGAGGGAGCATAGTGAATGTGCACAGGTGGTGCTCTTAGTGGCTGCAGCTGAGGGCGTGTCCTGTCAGAACCCCAAGGACAGGTCTGAGTACTACCAAGGACTGTTTACAGATTTCTATAAATACTTTGTTGAGAATTGGGTTGAACACATATAATGTATCTTTGTCTAGAGTGAATTCCTCTTATCGTTTTTACTGTTCTCACTAATGCTGGGACTCGGGTTAAATGGGGGTTTCTTGGTAAAGAAGCTGTCTGATGTCCCAATCTTTAAAAAAATAAAAAGTCCTGTTGTGATGGTTTGAAAGAAAATGGCCCCCATGGTGTGGCCTTGTAAGAGTAGGTGAGGCCTTGTTGGAAGAAGTGTGTTATTGTGGGGGTGGGCTTTGAGGTTTCCTCTGCTCAAACTAAGCCTACTACCACTGTTGATTCTGCTGTCTGTGGATCAAGATGTTCCTTCTCCAGCACCATGTCTGCCTGCAGGCCACCACGTGTAGCCATATTGATAATGGACTGAACCTCTGAACTTGTAGGCCAGCCCCAGCCCCAATTAAATGTTTCATTTATAAGAGTTGCCATAGTCATGGTGTCTCTTCATAGCAATAGAAACCCTAAGTAAGACATCCTTTATTTCAATTTTTATGTTTTCTTTTCTTTTATATTGTGATTCAAAACTTGCACTTTGTTATTTTTGTAATAGCCTGCCATTTCCATTCTAGCCTAAGCCGCATAAAAGCATGGATTGTGTTTGGCATCCCTAGTAATAAGCACAGTACATCTAGATCCCTGTGACTTAGTCAGCGGGTGGAAAGCCATCAGCTCCACTTAGCTTCTTCCTGCACTCTGATTTCACCTCTGTGTGAGCGGTATGGATAGGGATATTCGCTCATGAAGCCCTCTCCCCAGAACTTCCTTTTAGCCAGGTGTGGCAGCATGCCTGCAATGCCAGCACTGAAGAGGCTGAGGCAAGATGACCGTGGTGAGTTCAAGGCCAGTCTTAGTACAGATTAAGATCCTGTCTCTCTGGGCTGTGATGGTACACACCTTTAATTTCAGCACTTGGGAGACAGAGGCAGGTGAATCTCTAAGTTCAGCGTTAGCCTGGTCTATAGAGTGAGTTCCAGGACAGCCAGGGCTACAAGTCTTGAAGAACCAAAAATAAATAAATAAAAGACCCTGTCACAAAACAGAGCAAAAAACAACTTTTTTAATATTGGAGAGCTGGAAAAGGGAGGCACTTTTTTATGCCATGAGGTGGGTTGGGAGGGATAGGACTTTTTATATTACTAGTGGTGACATTGTCAAATATCTGTAAAACAATTCCAGATGTGATCCATGAATAAGGAGAAACATGGGATATAACTTGCTAACTATGCTGTTTGTTTTTCTCTAACCAGGTACACATCTAAACCTGAGAAAAAAATAGTCTATGCTATTTTTCTTAAGTGGCCTGTCTCAAGAAAGCTGTTTCTTGAACAACCTGTAGGTAGTCTGGGGGAAACAGAGGTAAGAAAGACTTTCATCTTGGCTATTCCTTTAAATTGCTAGCAAAAACATGCTGGGGAGAACATAACTTACTTTAACTTCAAGGGGAAACTTTCATGGGATTCTTTCCTGCCTAAGAAAAAGTTACTTTAAAATGAGCTTAGACAGTGCAACAATGGCAGCTATTCAGTCACAAGTTTTTGAAATTCTAAGAAAACTGAATTCATAAACTATATATAGTACCTCCATGTATAATGTAAAATAGGCATCATTCTTTACAGTTACATTCACTCCATTCATTGAAAATGAGTTTTTCATAGAACATCGCTTCCCCCAGACACCTCACCAAGAACACATCTGAGGAAGACGTTATGATTCTTCTATCATAACTGTGATCTATCTTGGGGCTCTTCAGAAGCTGATAACCTCTTTGTAGTAAAGTGTTATGTGATTTCCCACATTTTATTTCCAACACTGGAGGCTGACCAGGCTGAAAGATAGATTTCAGACCCAAACTTAAAGCTCAGCTCAGACTCAGCCTGGATGTGGCAGCGGTTATCCTTTTTATCCTTGTCTTGCATGGCATTAATTAATTAATACAATTAAAATTTAGGGGTTTTATTTTGTATTGATCCACGTGATAAAATATTACCGTTCAAATAACCCTTGGGTATGTATAGAACTACTTATGTGAATTCACTTTGTATGAACAAAACCAAGACTGCAAAACAATCCCAGGCATCATTGGTTGAGTTCATATGCTACTGTCAGTGGAGGTCACTGGGAAATATGACAGTAGGGACTGGTCAGGATAAGGAAGTATTTATTCAAACTGCGTAAGAACTGGGCAGGCCTGAACAGGGCAAATTGCTCCTAATTATTTCCTCTCTCTCATCCTCTCTTCAAGATTTTCCCCCACTCTGGTACTCCATTCTCCTTTCCCAATCTCTATACATGTTTGTTTACCTCCTGAGGGTAATGTGGGAATAGGAGTAAGCTGTAAACAGCATGCGAGTGCTAACGGTAAAAATGGACCTTAGAAAGTGGATGTCACAGTGATGTACTTGGGGACATTTGTACATTGTCTGTATTTCCAATTACAGGTAACACTATTGGGTCATGGGATGAGACTGACCTGGACTTCTTCAAAGCCAAATGGGATCATCGTGACGTTGCCACAGCTAAGCTTTCATCAGATGCCCTGTAAATGGGGATGGACTCTTGCACTAACAAATGTGTCTTAACTTGCAGCTGAGTGACATATGCCACAGGTACCTCTAACTCTAGGACATGGCAGGCTTTTTTTTTAATGGGACATTAAAGAAATCAGGGTAAAAATGATAAGAAAAAGCAAGACATTAGGCCACGTAGCCTCCTTTCCCTCTCTTCCTAAATTCTTTCCTAAGTTGCTCATGTTACTGTCTGAACATTTCAGTGCTTTCCTACAAACGCTCCTCTTGCTGAATTCATTTCACCCATGAATCCCAGGTGGCAATCCGGTCTAGAGAGCTTAGACTGAAGTTTCTCCCAAGTCCTATACTTATACTGTGGCTGTAACTGGAAACAACTATTAAAGAGATAATTAAGACTAAACTGAACCATAAGGCTAACCCTAATAAATAGGATTTGGTGTCCTGCAAGGAAAAGAGACAACAAAGGTGTAGGAACATAGGTGAAAGCCATGAAAAGTGATGGCAAGAAGGCACCCATTTGCACGCCAAAGAAGAGTGCAGAAGAAACCAAATCTCTGAATATCTTGGACTTCTGGCCTTCAGTAATGCGAGAAGAATAGCTTCCTGTTGTTGTAGCCATCCAGGGTGTGTTTGATCTTCCCCACTCACTCTGTTAATGAATCCTCATATATAATACAGGCAGTATGTAATGAATTTGATTGGGCGTATGTTTCCAATAAATTCAATAATTATTCTTTTGTTTTGTTTTTTGAGACATGATTTCTCTCTGTGTAACATTCCTGGCCAGTAATTATCTTTTCATTATAAAGGTTTCCCTCTTAATTATAAAACTTCTATTTTCTGTAGACATTTAACATTGGTATATTTTAATATTTATTCTCCCAGTTTGGAGACAGAATGAGACTGGAGGACTGGGTTATTTTTTAATAAGGGCTAAAACTCAAGGTGCAAACCTGGTTGAAAATTGGGAAGGTGTCATTAGTTACTTTCTTTTGCTGTGATGAAACACCATGGCCAAAGCAATGCATAGAAGGAAGAGTTTATTTTGGCTTACAGTGCCAGAGGGCTAAGAGGCCATCCTGGCACCAGGCAGGCATGACAGCTGGAGATCACGTCCTCCATCACAAGCATGAGGCAGAAAGTGAATTGGGTAAGGTGAGGCTGGCTCTAAACCAGTGGTTCTCAACCTTCCTAATGCTGTGACCCTTTAGTACCCTTCATGTGTGGTAACCTCCAGCCATAAAATTATTTTTTGTTGCTGCTTCATAACTAATTTTGCTACTGTTATGGATCACGATGTAAATAGTTTTAAGGGCACTGTAACCCCACAGGTTAAGAACCACTGTTTTATACTATCAACCCCCCCAGTGGTATACTTCAGTCAGGCTACATCACTCAACCCTCCCCAAATAGTGCTACCCACTGAACACCAAGTGTTCAGATACCTGATTCTATAGAGGACTTTTCTCATCTAAACCATAAAAGGCTCCTTAGACCTTTGTCTTGCTTTTCTATTGCTGTGTCAAAAACACCATGACCAAGGCAACTTGTGGGAGAGAGTTTAGTTGGCGTTGTGGTTGTGGAGGATTACAGTCTATGTCATCAGAGCAAGGATGACATGGAGATCTTGAGCCACAAGCAGGAGGCACAGAGACACTGGCAAAGGTAGAGTCTGACATCTCCCCCAACAAGGTGGCCCATTCTAATCCTTCCCAAAGTTCTACTAAATAGGATCAAGTATTCAAGCATTTTAGCCCCTGTGTGGCCATTGTGTTCAAACAGCCACAATGTCCATGGAGAATGAGGCAAAAAAAAAAAAAAATAGAGATTCTGACATGAGTTTAAGGAAAAACTGACTAAAGAGTTCATTGGATCATATGTCCAAGGCCAGCATGCACTACATACAGAGAGCATCTAAAACAAATGGAAAACAATTTTTAAATGGTCATATCTTTTGTTATATTATGTATGAAAATTCATCGTTTAAAAAAATCCTTTAAGTAGAGACATAAAATACCATCCACTAAATTTATCTCCTAAAATCACCCTTTAAGAAGGGTGCAAGCGTACATCCTGATGTATTTCCTGCCCCTGAACCTCCTGCCCCCATGTGACCAAACACACCAGTTGCAGATGGGTCAACCAAACTTGTGTAGGTGAGTGAAAACATGGCTTGTTATCTCCCATAAACAATAACCTCCAGCATTTCAGGAACTATTTGTCTTTGGACAAGGGGCTTGTAGGTCAGAGGCATTTTTGTTTCATGGATCTTGTAGGCATAGTAATTAAAATGTAACTTTGGCTTTCACTCAGATGGCCACATTGTCAGGAAGCAGAAAGGTGAATGCTTGTTCTTCATGCACTCTATCACTTCTATTCAGTCTGGGATTCTAGTCCAATGAAGGTTGTCTCTGACTTTCAGGGTGAGTCTTCTTACTATAGCATTCATGACCAAAGACACATTTTGGCAATTCCAGTCTGGTTGACAATGACAATTAGCCATCACATAGCTATGAGGAAGGTTAATAATATCTCAGTATTCAGAGGGACTGATAAGATGTACAGCTAATAACTCGACTGCATAACAAAATGTGTGAGAGCCTAAATTCAAGTTTATTCACGGTTTTTCTTACATGTGAAACTTTCTATATTTGTTTCTATAAATATACTATAAGGATTCAAAGTGACTAAAATTATTAATATCTGTGGTATGAAAGACAAGAATTATAAGGATAGTTAAAAGTCAGATCTTCAGTTAGCTACATCAGGTTTTTGTCCTTTAACCAAAGCTAATCTTTTCCTTAGAGCTACTAAGAAGTATGAAGTGGTCTTGTTTGAATTTCAGTAGCTTTTAATTTACATTTACTGTTTAAATATTGAAGGCAAACAAAGCTAGATTACTGGGTTGTGTAAAATAGGGACTGATGTTGGCTTTACCGTTTTAAATATATGAATTTATCTTATGAGTTGCCATACAGAGGCAATACTATGGCTACAAAGGGTCAGAGTACGCAAACAGCTACGAATTAGGAAAAACCTCACTTTTCTTTCATTAAGTTTAAAACACTACTAGATAAAAAGTTGCCTTATTTCCAAGTGGAAAAAAATGCCTTTCAAAGTTTTACACATGTGCAATAACAAGTGCATTTATTCTATCTTGAAGGGGGAATAAATAGGAGCAACTTCATGTCCATTTAGCCAATGCACTAACTCGCTGACGCTCATTTCCTGCGGAAAGATGTCTAGGATAAGCAAAGGTTGTCAGTGAGTGGCACACTCTCCACTTCCATTCCCGTGGGTTGTGTGTGTCCCAAAGTTTAGTTCTGTGGCTGCAATGGGCTGAATACGTCCATCTGGAACATCTACAACGTGATTAAAGTCTTTATTAATGCAATTTCGCTTTGAAAGCAGCTCTTATCGGATGGGGGATGGACACTATCCTTAGACCTTAGAAAAGGACACAGACACAGAATTAGGGTTATATTTCTACAAAGGAAGGAAGGGATGGCGTCACCAGAATGGGAAGGAGACAAGCAAAGGACAGAAGGACTTTCCCTAGAGCCTTCAGAGTATCACAGGCATGCTGACACCTTGGTGTTAGAGTTCACAGCACAAGTGAGAGAAAAGAGATTTGAGGTTTCAAGTAATCCAATTAACAGTAATTTGTTACAGCAGTCCTAGGAGACTAATACAAATGAATTATGCGGGTGGCATATTTCATTATCTTGATTGTGTAAGCTAATGACTAGAGAGTTGCAGTTTTCTTGACAGCTTAAGTGGAATGACTAGATGAAAGAGTGTTGCCTTTAAACAAAAAGATAAAAAAGAAAAACTATTGGTTCAATGTAAGTGAAATAGTACTTAAAGATGGGGAAATACAATAAAAGCTATATGAATTTTGCATGATTTGTACCAAAAAGACAATAGAGAACACTTAAGAGATTTGCAGAGAAGACAGAATCTGAGTAATTACTACTGGGGACACAGTGGATGCACCCTGAAAAGTACAATGAGATACCATAGGAAATATTTGCTAATTAAGAGTGTTTGAATTTTAAGTTAAAATGACTAAGGATTTATGATAGCCCATTTTAAATCACTTTCCAGGTTAACCAAACTTTCAGACAAGAGGGTTCTGACACCATTAGAAGCAAATTAGAAATATGTAATGCCAATTAACTCTAAATACATAAGTTATGTATTTCATTTCTTTTAAACCTTGCCACCTCTTCAGTGGTCTTGACTCTTAAGGATATTGCCGATTCTGGGTGATAATTTTATGCTGAATAATTTTCTTCTGACAAGGCTATATCTGCACAATCTCCCAGTTTCCCTGATGTAAATCTGGGGTATATTTTGAAAAGATGCATTCCCCATTCCACATACACATTTCCTAATATTCCAAAATGCAATTTCTTTCTTACTCAGTTAGAAATGACAAAATTAGCATATCTTATCAAATTTTAAAAATGTGTCCCCTTTGTCATCTTTATCCATGATTGTTTTGTTATGGAGCTCAGCTAAGCTTTAGAAAGCCCTGCATAATTCATTTTTTATCATCTCCTACTTAGCTATATTGCATTCTGTGGGAGGCACATAAACCTATGTTCTGAAAACAATATTATTGAATATAGCTAATCCATTGCTGACACTTGATTCAGTCAGTTCTACCTTAATGCCCCTCTAAATGAAGAACCACAGATACACTAGAGACAAGGAATAATTTACTTTTATTTACATTTTTTTTGGAAAAAAAACAAGTTAGAAGAAAGCACCAACTATATACCAGTTAAAACTTAAAACTAGCATGCTCTCTTAAGAACAGCAAAAATATTACTAAATAACAAATGAGTGGCTGAAAAGTATTAACTGAACAAAACTATATTTTATGAAAATAGTTTATTGCAACAAGTTATTTGTTGTACTCAAAAGCAATACAAAGTTATTAAAATTATTTATACACAAATGAATGAAACTCTATAATTAATAATTATGAGTAAACAACATGAGCATAACATTAGCCTGTAAATCTATATGCAACTTCTGAGGGTTGCTAAGAAAGCTTTAGAAAATGCTGCAAATAAATATTGAAGTAAAAATAGCAAAGGAAAAAATAGCTGATCAGAGGTTTTAAAATGCACTGATTTCTAGAAGATAAGCCCTCTGTCAAGGTGTGTGAGACAAATCACATGACTGGAGAGAATCCGGCTTGCTCTCACTTACTTCAGAGTCCAGCAAACTTCATGATTAAACATTAAATCTTCATAGTCCACACATCCTAGATCTACTTTTCAAGGCAGATTTTCCCTCATTATATATATGAAAGGACACCGCAGTCCATTACATGTACATATAAAATTATCTACTTGGTTTTGGATCAGCTATCCAGGCTGTCACAGATCATGAATGATCCCGATGTTGTAATTTGTGCACCAGTTAGATACACCTGATGAAGTAGACTGCTGATGAATTAAAAATACAATAAGGTGCCAAATGAATCTACTTCATTATGAAATAAGACTTCGCTTAAGAATATATTTTATTAGGCAAAATTTGGTTGCAAATTGTCACTCTAGGCATAGATGATTTTAATGTAGATGGATTCTAGCTCTTCTTGAAGGAAGAAAGTCACTTCTCCAGTTGTTGCGGAGTACTAAAAGCTTCATACACATTAGCAGCAAAGTCTTTTACTTGCTCCATCATCAAAAGATCCTAGAAAAAATGGTAACAGTA